CACACACACACACACACACACACACACACACACACAAGCCCGTTCAGCTATCTTAGTGAGGACCTTCATTGACATAATGGTTTCCCTAGCCCCTTACCCAACCATTAAAAATGAATATGGTTCTCACAAGTATAGTAGAATGCACATGTTGGTCCTCACAAAGATAGCTAGACAGGAACACACACACACACACACACACACACACACACACACACACACACACAGTAGAAAAGCATTCCTTTCTATAAAAAGCAAGTACTTTGTCCACATCCTCCATATGGCTGTCAAATTATATCACAAACCCAAAGGTATCCTAATGTTTTAGTGGATGTAGGAGTCTGTATATATTATGCTCTTTGTACCAGATTTACGCTTGCCAGACCTCAGGCTGTACTTACTGGTGCAGCCTCTTAAATCTCTCTGGATATGATTTGCTGCAGCATGCCTGAACACACGTGAGAAAGCATCACAAAATCTAGCACAGTGACCCGCACAACTCAACCTGCTCCAGCCATAGCTCCTACATGCATTCCTGTCTCTATGCAGGTGTATCAATATGCATGTTCCTATGTTTTTTATGCATTATATCACTTAATCTTAATGTTTGTGTGCTGTGTAGCGGGACTCACTCGTAGAGACTTCTTTGATCATCTCAGCTGATCCGTGACATCCATTCACAATGTGTCTGGTCCACAGGGACAGGTCCTTGGTGGTCTCAGTCCGGAACAGGTGAGTCTCAATGCCAAGTCGTGTGCCAGTCCGAGTGGCAAAGAACAGCTCTGTGCCAGAGTGCGGCGACCCCCGGTCAGGGCCTGAGTGGACCAGACTAAATAAACACATACAAAGCCTTTTAGCAAAGAGAAGAAATTCAATATACACTCTTAAGCTTGGAAGTATTTTTAGAAAAATCATTTTTAAATGAAAAAAGCAACACCATAGTGTTAGTCATCATAAAACAAATTGAATGTTTAAGGCCCAATATTAATGCATGTGCAAGTTTCTGCAAGTCAGTCTCTTTATGAGGGTCCTACCGCGTTGCTAAAAGTGGGTAAGTGTGTGTAGGGCTCTGCCAGGCCTCCTGGCCTCGTGGTAAGCAGTCATATAGCAGCAGGTCCTTTTCTGTCACCACCACCAGCACCGGCTTCCAGCACTGCTTCTCACTCTCTGTCTGCAGCACAAACAACGAGACTATGACAGCTTTCCTTTAATGGTCTGACATATAAATATATAAAAATTAGTCTTTTAAAGAGCTGCACTAATCAGGAGGATTATCCGCACGACAAAAGCTCCAGCTATTGGCCCATCTAGTCAATATCTTTGTATGCAAGGGATTGTGACATAAATTTAGCAATATTATTTGATGACAAAAACACGTGATAGATGAATTCAAAATTAAATGATCAATTAGTAAAATTCTAATATAATAGATTAACTAGGCAGTTAATCCTGTAAACCTGTGCAATATAAATTTGATCACATCAATTCTGCACGATTAGAAATACCTATTCCCTCTTGTGGTTTTTGCAAATACTAAGATTGTCTTCATGTTTTTAAATGAGAGTGCTGATGAGGCTGATCACTGGCAGTAACAGAGAAGACTGGTGTGTGTGTGAGCGTGTGTGTAGTTGCAATCTGTAATAGCTGTTCACAAGGCTGTTCTGTTCTGTCACAGGAAATGTCTAGATTCACTATTGTGCACCCAAAATAAATGTGGCTGGTGTGCAGTTGTAGGTTTTTTTAAGCGTATGCTTAGCGGTGCCCCCTCAGCCACTCATCTCTACAAACCCCTCACTCAGAGCACGCACACACCGAGTGTGGTATTTCATTTTACAATGCTCCATAACTATTCTCATTATGAGAGCTTATCTGCAGCACAGCCACGGAATCCTAAGCTGCTCTTTGAAGTTCTGCCTCATCCAATCGTATCGTGGGATTTAGAGGGTCAAGGGTCATATTTTTAACATAATCAGAATATGTTGCTAAGTAACAGTATTGTGCTGCATTTAAAGATTAAAATACTGTCAAATTCACAAGGACAGGACTAAATTAGGTAGATACAGATGTTCGTGGGCGTGCAGATATCGCTGCACAGATGTCTGCATGTATGTATACACAGTACAAACACACACCACATTAATACTTTGTCATATATTCATACACCATCTGGGCCCCTTTCCCAGGCCCACGCCTCACTAATTTACACCTTTCTGACATGCAGATTGACCTATTGCTTTATCTTTCTCCAACAGTTAATCTGACAACTCCAAGTAGTATGCAACAAGTAAATACTGCCACTGCTTTATCAAGCAAACTATTTTTGTCGTTTTCTGTGTACAAGTGTGTGCAGCTGCATGACGATTTTCTTGACATTTACACCTGACTATCATATTTCCCCCTTCTCTGTGACAGATGGCTTTTTATGCTGCTTTTACGTGACTATTTTGAAGGATTTCTACCATCTGACTCAATTAAAAAAATACCCTTTACAACTTTACACACAAACAACAAATGCTTTATCTCATAAGGGCATTAACGCAGATTCCAGATATATTAACCCTCATAAAATACATTGGAATAATGTATCAAGAGCTGATTAAGAACTGATATAGAAATTTGTTGTCCCACCCCCAGAGGGTAGACAAATTTATATCCCCACAGTGTGAGTAATGCACTCCTACCTTGCCTGCAAGCCATCCCAGGTGTCGTATCTCTTTGCTGCCAGCAACTCCTGCCCTGGCTGTGTTTTGGATAACCTCTTGCAGCACCCGCTGTAGCAAGATGGATCATTTTTAAGGTAAATAGTTCAATATGCATAACTTAACATTCAAAGACATTTCCAGAGGCTTACTTATATCTACTGAAATATCGAGTGCTGAGAGACACTGGTATAATATTTCACGTAGAAGACAGACCTGGGCCAGTGCTGATGTGACAGAGTGCATGGCGGAGAACCACGACAGGGCAGATGGTTGGTCTGGGCAACGCAGCACCACAGTGTGCCTGACATCAGGAGAGTGTAGCTCTAGTTGTCTACAGGGGAAGATAAGAAAAGTTAAATAGGTTGAACTTCTCTGTTATCATCCTGAAGCGAGTGCTAAAACCTTGAGAGTGAAGAATCTTGAAAATATATTTGTTAGCCTTACCACAAAACTCCAATTTATTCTGGACTTATAGTTTTAGGACTCAAATATTACCTTTTCAGGTTTGCGCTTTAACATATGCCCCCTTTCTTATTTGCTTAATCACAGCAACTCGGTCAGAACAATGAAATAAATGGCATGGAAATTTTTGTTTATTCAACATGCATTGCATTCTCTGTGGGAGACCAGCGCCGTCTCTCTCCAAATTTCCATATCTAATCTGCTTACATGAAATGTGAGTCTTTCTGGCCTTGGTTAAAAAAAAAAAAAAACAAACACATGCCTTTCAATCTCTCTGAATGGCTCTTTGATTGTGTGCTCAGTGAATATGAATTTTAAAAAGGCACATGTGTCTGCCTACAGTGCATAAAGTGGTGCACTGTTGTTTTATAGGGCAGCAAAGCAAGTATACAGCTCCACGACGTAAACCAGTATGCTATAGATAAATAACCTGACCACTTTAAAGGAAGGAAATAATAAGAGTAACAGTGGACACAGAAAACTATTAAATATTCTTGACTCAAAGATTTAAAAGAAGCGATATGGTAGCAACTGTACAATGTGTACTTCACATTGTGTTTGGGCCGTGTTTGAAGTATGCACAGTCTACAATGTTTATCACGTGATTTTCAAGGATTGAAAATGCACAAATAAGGTAAATGAAGCTCAAGTAGGAACAGTGTCTGCTTGTGTACGCTTTAGTAATATCCATTTAATAACAACCTTTAAAATACGATTGAAAATACAGAGAAAAAATTAGCTGTGGCACAGTGGACTAAAACTCCACACTAAGGGTGGTTTCAACATGACAAAAATGCTTTCTTTGCAGCTTTCTTTTATCACACAGACAGAGAACCTGAAAAAAATCCCCAGTGGATATGATTAATTTGCTCTTCTATCAAAACGTAGGCGAGACCATCTACAGTAGATAAGCTCCAGGTGTTAATCTGAACTAAAAGTAGAATCGGTGCTTGTAAAAAGGCAGGTTGATAAAGGGCATCCTGGAGGAGAGGAGCTATAAGGGCTGAATTCCGGGGCTAGAAGTGCATTTTGCAGAGAAAGTTTTTTGGTGTGCTATTTGCTTTGGCAAAAACTTTGACAACCTAAGTTATCTGTCCCTTGATTGCATGACGCAGGAATGGGGAACATAGGGAGGACTAACAACGAAACCCATCTCACACACAAACAGCACAAGTGGATCGTTGGGTTCTCGCTACAATTTTGTAGGGTCTTTAACTTTTAACTCAGCATCTTAAGATGTTTTCATGTAAATTGGCTCTATAGAAATAAAACTGAGCTGAGCTGAAAACGCTACTGCTCTGAATGCATGGCGTTACATAAGTGTGCTCCTGCATGAATCTCTCATTTGATCAAAGGGTAGTTGTCCTCGTGGGATTATCAATAGATTTAGCAAATATGTATTCAAGGTCTCTTCCATCATGCAGATGTGATCCAAGGATAGACTGTATGGATGTAGACACGGAGATGTCGTTCAGTGATTTTTATAAGCCTTGTTGTGAAACCCTGACTTGAGAATTTTAGCTATCTGTCTTATTATCTGTAATATAATTACTATTAACCTGTCTTCACCCAAAAGTAAACATCATTACTTTCTCTCCTTCTCCTGTCATGTAGTCCCCTTCTTTATTAACTCACTCCTTCTGAATTATCACTCCTGCTCATCACTGTCCCATCTTTCCTCAAATGCCAATCTTCTGAATCTTAGGCTTAAACACAGTTTAAACAGCATCTGCTGAAATGAAGAGAAAAACCTCAGATAGATGAACATTGCACTGAGTAAAGTAAAAGAAGATAAAACAGGCTTATCTATCACTTAATATAAAGCCATTTTATCACCCCCGAATCCTTAAAATGAAAAAAAGAGTTTAATCTCACTCTGCAATCTTTAACTTCTGTTTATTATATCAGAACAGCCAAACTCTGTGAAACATCTAACTTTCGGGACAAATATGAACACCTCGTCAAACTTTTGCAGCTTAAAAACGACAACCTGCATTTCAACTTGGGCGTCCTGTGTTTAAACATTTACCAAACATCTACTGGCAAGGTAAGGCTGGAAGTCAAGAAAGGAAAGAACTTTCTTGACTTTCTTGAGAGAAAACAGGTTAGTCAAGATAAATTTTGCTAAGGACTTTATCTGTGTCTGTGAATCTGCCCTCAAGCTTTATCAAACCACATAACAGTGTTATCTGTGTAAAGCTTAAGCTGCCTATGTCACTAGATGAGATATTGATCCCAGCTACTCACAAATAAAGTCAGCAAAGTTCAAGTCTGTCATGTTTTTTTTGTTTTTTTTGTGTAATAATAAACTTCAAATTAATGAACTTTAACCACAAGTTGTGTTGTTGTTGTTGTTGTGTAAAACACTCATATATGAGAAGACTAGATTGTCCCATGTGGATATAGCAGAATACCACTGAGCACATACCCCAAGGCCAGGTCCATGCTAATTAACTGCAACTTTTTTGTACTATTAGAGTCCTTCAGTCAGGCCTACTTTAGTCAAAAGAAGATAATTATTTCCAGTGGCAGTTTATGTCTGTGAGTATGGAGCCTCCCTGGACCTCCTTCCTGTCCTTTTACAAGGATATGTAGGAAGCAAAAAAAAAGGACTCCTGACTCCTAGCACAGAAGAGAGAAGGAATCCACAATGACACAACACTGATTAGATCGCACAGAGCATGAGAAGGAGGAGCTGGGGTCAATGTTGGTTCCAAAGTGGCTTGCAGATGCAGTAGCAGTAGCCAAGCTAAATCAAATTTACAGCCCTTCATATTTGAGATTTGCCAATTAGATGTACGGAGACGCAAATAACTGGGACTCTAGACTCGGAGAGGGAAGGGTCGTGCCATGTGACAGGACAGCACTTTCTCCACAAATGTCACCTGTCTTTCCAGGGTTGAATCCCGGACCAAGTGACAAAATGCACAGTCTTCGGGCTTAGCCAATGCTCTACTAGCGTGGACAATCTGCAGGTACATGTGGAATGTTTTGTGCTGATCCTTGTCTTGCAAAGAGAAACCGCACCCTTTAAGACAGTGACAAACAGAAGATTTCTGCTTTGCTTGCTTCGGTTTAGTAATCATAACAAAATAAAGCAAAAACGCTACACAAGAAGATGTGAAATTAGTACCCTGCGGGCAGTGTACATACCAGGTAAGCATTGCAGACTAACACCAACAGGAGCTAAGTTAAGCTAACTTCAAGCCGGCTAACAACCGTGCTAATTAGCAGTAGCAAGCTAGTACGACTGCAGAATAATTACACGACTCTGAATGTAATTCTTTCTTTAGCTTAAATACCGGAATAACAAGTTGAGTATTACTTTGCAGACTGTCCCAACTAACATTATGCTCATTAACAGCCACTGATATAAATAAGAATCTGCAACTAGGGTACAAAGGCATGTGAGGAGGAGATGCTAACAGATGGTAATATGTAACACAACCCTAAACAAATGATTCCACCAAGCATGTCTATAACTAGCACTCGCTAGTTACAGCCCATATTACAGGAAGAGCAAACAGTAGATGGAAATTACTGCTGTGTTTACATAATGGTAAAGAGAACTTAAGCAACTGGTTAAAAAGCAGAAGACTTCTAAGAAGACTTGAAAGGTTAAGTATTTGATTTTCCTACAGGATGTAAACTTTACAACATCCTGTAGGAATTTAGAGGTACAAACTTCTTTGTAGTTTACAGGAAGCAGACAAAAGAATATTTTTGAAATGAACTTATTTTCTTTGATACTTATAAAAACAATGCTAATCATAATGAAGGTAAGTATCAAGCAGCCTTGCGTGTTGCCTTTATGCTTAATGTGGTACGAAATGCCTCAACAACTCAAACACCTGCAGCTGCAAGTGCAATGAAAAGCTAACACTTCAAACTGAGAAAAAGTCAAACGAAACCAAATCTAAGCCGAACAATCTAAACACAGCTTCCACGATAAGCTGATACTGCAAAAGTTTAAAAAGTCCATCGTGTTTCCAGCTGACAGAGAACCACATATTCTATCCACAGATGGTGTTTTTACTTTTCATTCTATTTTTATTAGATTTGTTTATTTTTACTGACTGATTATTTAGTAGATTTATAATGTTAAAGTGTTGTTGTAGCGTTTCCATAAAGACAGTTGCGACTTGGCTTTGATGTTTCCTTCATCATCTCAAGCTTTCAAGTGTGAGCTTCCACTTTCTCCCAGAATCATACATATGGAGAGGGAGGCAGGACTAGACGAGGCACAGAATGATAGGAAAACACTGACAATTGTTTAGAGGGCAAAAAGTAAAATATCAAGAGAGTGACAAGGATGGGAGGACAATAGAGACAGAAAATTGATTCAGATGGCAGAATACAAAGAGAGATGATGATAGAAAAGAAAGGTAGAGGAAACCAAGCAGACAAAAACACAAACAAGTATGAAAAACAGACATGAGAGAGAGCAAAGTATAAACAAGTAGGGAAGCAACACAGAAAGTGAGGCAGAGAGAAAGACAGCTAGGGCATAAAGCACACAAACTCTGATATCAAACGTGTTTAGAAAAGGAGAGTAAATCACTCTTATCTTCCCCCATGCTGTTTGAGTGGGCCATTGTCAAATTACCAACCAATTAGCTTGATGACAGCCCCTAACAGACCACCCCCCACTGACTGAGAATTAGCTAGGCAATACTTCAAAGGTTTGTCTTTAAGGAAAACTAAAAATGGATTTTAAAAACCCGTTACTGAGTAATCCCCACAGGACAGCTGGAGAAGGCTGCTTCTGTTCACTCACTGTGACATGCAGGAGCAGAAAACTAGTTAACCTTTAATTAACTAAAGTAACCAACAATCTTTTCTTTGTTTCTGTTAAATTCAATTTTATTTATACAGAGCCAAATCACAACAACAGTTGCCTCAAGGCGCTCTATATTGTAAGGTGAAATCCCTACCATAACACAAAGTAAACAGAAAACCCAACAATCATATGACCCCCTTTGAGCAAGTGCTTCGGCAACAGTGGGAAGGAAAAACTCCCTTTTAACAGGAAGAAACCTCCAGCAGAACCAGGCTCGTGGAGGGGCAGCCACCTGCCACGACCGGTTGTGGTGGACAGGACAAAAGACATTGATAATAACTAATGATTAAATGCAGAGAGGTGTATAAATACATAGTGAGTGGAAAAGATGACTAAAGAAGAAACACTCAGTACATCACGGGAATCCCCCAGCAGCCCAGACCTCTTGCTGTGTAACTTTGGGAGGAGAAAGTTCTGAGTTGAACTTTCAAACATTTTCTAGTAACAAAGCCTGAAAGCTATGTCTGACTACACTCACATGACAGACTTATATGCAACATATCTGTGTTGCAAAAAAGACTACAACAAACAGAAAAAACTGCACACAAAAAAATAGTTCCAGTGACCCACAAACATAATATGAGCATCTTTTCAAGACAAACCTGGTGAACTATGAGCGCAAGAAAAAAAAAGATACCTTGTATCCACAATGGAGTTTCGTTTCACTCACCACTAAATACAGAATTAAGAATTTGAAAAAGCGCTGCAGGCCTGGCAAAACAAAATCTACGTAACATGTTAAATTAATAACAGTTTTGATTCAAGATCATATTACTCAGCCCAAGGTGGAACTATGTGTGTGGTTAATGTATGAACCTGAAGTCATTAAACAAGCATTTAAAAAAGCCCAGAGAATCTGCTCGTGTGTGTGTGTGTGTGTGTGTGTGTGTGTGTGTGTGTGTGTGTGTGTGTGTGTGTGTGTGTGTGTGTCTTCGCTACCTGTTCTCAGGGTCTGGTGTGGTCATGGCTCGGGTTACATAACACATCTTCAGTGGTATGCACCTCCTGTCACCGTTCAGAGACAAGGAGTGCTGAATCGTAGGACTTGGAGTTTCAGGTGAGGAGGTGACAGGAGGGCTGCTGAGACGGGGAGACTCGGGAGGAGGCGTCTCCCAGCCGATCTCTGACACGGGAGAGCCCTTTTTGACATATGGTGTGGCCTCACGCATATACTTGACTGGAGAGGAATAGAAGAAATACATTTTTAGTACACACAAAGCAATGATAACAATAAAAATTGAGCCACATGTTGAGATTGCAAATTATTTGTCGTCACTTTTGGCCATCTTCATAATTTTCTGTAGATAAAATGGTTCATATTTATATGCTATAGTGACGCCTATTTGTCTTTGCACACTCTAAACAGTATAAATGATTTAATTCGTATAAATATATATACTTTTACAAAAATACATATTAAAATGAAAAAAGGCTACATGTATAACAATGAGGCTGTTCTTTTGCTGGCAGGGTTGTAACCTCATTTAATACAAAGGCCAATTAAAATCCCAACACGTTTGACCTTACAGGCTTGCAGATACTCATAATGTAAAATCCATATGTGCTTCAGCAGCAATTAACAAACCTTGTTGTTTTGAAGGTAGTCTGTATCTGTCATAACGCAGAGGAAGGAAGTGAGGATACCACAAATGTTCACATGCACAGCCAACATTGAAACTGTTTTACTTATAATACCACTGAAGTGTTTGTTAAGCACAGACTTTCACGGGGCGGAAAAGTAATTTTCAGCAACATATCTGTGCGTTAATGATGCTTGTCAGAGACCCAGGAGGGTGTACAGATTACAGAAACTTGCCTCTGATAGTAATAAAACTTAGGACCACAAGTCTGTTTCGTGTCCGCATCATGCAGTGGCGGTTAAATAGATCGATTACAGCCTCAGACCTGCTGCGTCACGCCCTCACCATATATTTCCTGTGTGTAGTTTTACAATCATCTGTCCAATACGTTCTCGTTCACCCGTTAAAATCAGAAGGAAGAGAATCAAATCAGTTACTTTGCACATGTGCTCTGGAGTGCACGATAGAAGCCCACTTCAGATGCTCCCTCACTAAAATATTCAGTGTCCTCTGAATAATGTCATCTCTAAAGATGACTATTGTCCACAGAGTTTTCTGATAAAGCAATACACGTTTTGCTCCACAGACAGCAGGAAGCTCAGTGGAAAAACAGTGATACATGTTCCTGTAATAATTAAGTGGCCCTCTGCGCTGCCACTTGATAACAGTAAATGTCAACATGCCATTTAACTGCGGTGGTTTTTGTCAACAAAATCAAGTGCCTCTTCAGCTCTCAATAATTTGTTGAAACGTATTGATTTGCCTCATCGTCCCTGTTGCTGCTGGCAGCTCTGGCACCACTGAGTCACTTCAAGATCCACGGCCGACGCCGCTGGGCTATCTGAGAAACGCCGAATCCAGGAAAACACACAGCTTTACTTGTACGAGTCATACTGATGCTCATTTTAAATTCTACATGTCCTCCTCTTTGAGAGGAGGAGAAAAGAAGGCTGGAACCATGTTACAGTGAAAGACAGAAATAGGGAGTCGGAGATAAAGTGGGTGCACAGATTGCTTTCTATGTCCTGAATACGCTAAATCCTTATTATGGCCTGGATGTCTAATTGGCATATCTCGCAGTACAGCTGCATATAATTGGCATATGGCTGGTGGCATTTGTAATCCAGCATGTGAACTATTCTTGGTAGAAGCACTATTGAGCACTACGGGATGGTATAACAAGCCTAACCTCCAACCTGTAAATTAGGGATGATAGGCTCATAACACAGAGGCTCATAACACAGAGGAGAAGACAGGGATGATGTAAGAGTGTCCTCAATGGACGCACAGATACAATGTGATCTAATTGCACAGTAGAATAACCCACACAGTCAGATCAGATTAAAACAGCTTGAAAAAAAAAAAAAAAAAAAGGTTGATACTTTTGTTGAAATCAAAGGACTGAATAGATCAAATCCAGCGCAGTCAAATAAGGACAACCACTTCTGCTTTGTGTTAAGTGTGTTAACTCGAAGGATATTAATAAAAAAGGGAAGAAGCAAAAGTCTGAAAGACTGAGACTGACTTTTGTGATTAGACAGCAGCACAGAGACCGTCTGCCTCATACTTTGTGATGCAAACATCACAAATCTGCAGCAGAACATCAAATTCGTGACTTGTGGCGTTTTGCTGAAATTTTTCTGAGCATCTTAGTACAGCCATTCCTGCACTGTGAGGATGCGTTTTGCTCCCTCTGCATTCCTTTAAATGTCAGTTTGAAAGTTTAGACTTGGTATTTGGGCTCAGGCTAAAAAAACAAAACACATATATAATCACACCTTTCTAATGGGCCTACCCACAGCACTGTGCCTAAATCATACATCCTTAAAAAATAACTGTGAAAGCATGTACACCACACAGAAACCACAAGACCTGCGGTTGATCAGCTAGGCGTCTTTTGCTCTGTGTCAGTTTCCGACGCTGGTAGAGAACGTGACTGTAAAGACAGCACGAAGCAAGATGAATCCATCTGCTGATTTTCAGACACAAACATGTGGCACAATCCTAACAACTTACCCGTTAATTTCACACCATACACAAAACCTTTATCATTATCTACCCAAACAGCTGATACCCTGGTTACAAATTTACAGTCCACTTTCTGAGCAGAAAAAAAAGACATGCCACCCATCTACTATAAAAACATAATGTTTAGTTGATGATTTGCTTGCAGTTAACATTTACAAAGAATCCCCATTCCTAGAAATAGAGCTCTAAGTGTTTCCAGTGGAGGGGAAAATAAAAAGGGGTACAGTCCGTGCAGTCATTACACTGTAAGTGTGTACGTCTGTGTGCATTCCCTTGGGTCGTGTTTCTATCCCATTACAGCGCCAGCTCTGCGCAATAACCTCAATAGCTGGAGAAGAGCTTGAAAAGGATAGGGCTCATACTACTGGAGCCATGAGAGGAGTCTATGAGCCGGTTTGCTGTTACATAAGTCAAACTAAAGAGATTCAAACGAGAGGCTACACTTCCCTATCTATTTGATTTTATTTTCCACTTTCCAGCTCATCCTTGCTCACCCATGTGCAGATAATTTTTTTTTTTTTATTATTATTATTATTAGTAGTAGTAGTGGTGTGATTTCCATTCTCCGAGGTATTTTGCAGTTACAGCAGTCATTGATGCAGATGCCTCAATGCATCAAAACAGCTGTTCGACTCACCAGTGAAGTCATTGACTTCTTTTGATGATTCAAACGCTCTTCGCTTAATAGAAACTGTACACGATCCATTACTTACACATTTTTACAGCTGATGCACTCAATTTGTTCTTGACTGTTAGACCTTCACAATGAATACACAACGACAAACACACACTCTTCAGTCCGTCCCTCTTGACAAACACACACTCTGGTCTATAACATTAAGTGTAATTACTGTAGCTGTCTCATTGTCTTTTTTTTATTTAATGGTCTTTAACGGTATTTAATGGGGTTTGAAGTCATTGCATTTACTACTATATGCTTCAAATGTACTTTTTGTTTTGTGAGAAAGTGCATCAAAGGAGAGAAAAAAAAACACTCATTAAAGCTGCGGAAGTGAAAGTAGACTGGTAAAAGCTGGAAAGAGGCCAAACCAGACTAAAGAGGTAGAAAAAAAAGAGACGCTCCTCTGACTGTAGAATTGGGCCTTTTCCTCTTGTACCTGGATACTACAGCAACACAAAAGGCCCTTACAAATCCACCCTCGAGGCACCTTTTTGTAAGATGTTGGCCAATATTTCAAAGATTCCAATACTACCTTAACCGAACAATGTGTAGCAACTAACAGCAGGTTAAAGAAACGTGAAATGTGCATAGGTATGCTTACTCACTGACCATGAACTGACACCAAGTTCAACACTTTTCTAATCAACTTTCTGAAGAGCATATTTATATAAAAGACACCTGAAAGGCATTTGCTAAAATGTCACATTTTAAAATACCGCCGATGATGTTACAACACAAGAGATGTGGTACTAACAGATTAAAGAGTACTTCTATATGTAATACTGAACTTAATGATTTAGTTATCGTGCTATAAATATGAGTTAATCAATTAACCTATCCCCATAGGTTAATCTAAATTGCCCATAGGTGCGAATGCAGGAGTGAATGTGAGTGCGAATGGTTGTTTGTCTCTGTGTGTTGGCCCTGCGACAGACTGGCGACCTGTCCAGGCTGTACCCTGCCTCTCGCCCTATGACAGCTGGGATAGGCTCCAGCGCCCCTGCAACCCTGAAAAGGATAAACGAAAGCGAATGGATGGATGTAAATATGATATTTACTGCAGGAGTGAGGGAATTTGGCATAGTGTAGTCTGAGTGATGCACAGTAGAGAGCATGAAAGAAATAAGAAAGAGAAAGGAGCACAAAAGGAGTGCTCAAAGACTTATTTGCCCAAAAAAAATGCAAATGTGCAGATGCAAATGCAGAGGATGTGGACACCACAGTGTGTGTTCAGGACACAAGAAACTTGCATTGAAATTACATTAAACATTAACCTGAATGTTAAAGATAACAAACCTACACCATTCGCACTCACGGGCAGGGATAGCTCAGTAGGTAGAGCGGTGGCCCCATGATCGGAAGGTCGGGGGTTCGACTCCACTGAACGGCTACCCTGAGGTACCCCTGAGCAAGGTACCGTCCCTACACACTGCTCCCCGGGCGCTGCACTGGTGGCTGCCCACTGCTTCACTGGGTGAATGGGTTAAATGCAGAGGAACTATTTCCCTATGGGGACTAACACGCACTTTTTACTTTACTTACTTTTTACTTACTTTACTTACTTTTTTTACTTACTTTACTTTTTAACTTTACTTTACTTTACATTTAGCAGATATCATTATCAAAAATTTGAATTTACCTATAAAGCACTTCCCCTGAATTATGACAGCTAGCAAGTTTTAAAAAAAAAACAACACAAAGCTTCAGAGGATGAAAGTGTGAGCAGGAGGATACAGTCACTTTGTGGGGTTACAAGTTTTGCATCAAAAAGTGCGATCTTTGCAAACTCTTTTAGCTCAGATTCATGCATGCAGCTATCAAGTAAGGAGTGCAGTGAGTATTCAGCTTATTATTGTATAAAGGAAAACTGGTTAGCAATTCTAGGCT